CTCGGCCAGGCGGCGCGGAGCAGCCGACCGGCGGCCACGCCAGTGCCCCTGCGGCGCCCTCGCCAAACACGTCTGGATTACCGCCGGACAAAACAATGAAGGCGAGGCCTGGCGCGCCAGATGCCTGGGCCCCGGCCCACGCAACTCGGCACCATGGCCGCTCCTGGACCCACTCGTCCTGCCTACCGCCCTGCGCAAGTGTGCGAGCTCCCTCCAGGCCAGGCCCATACGGGCAGTGCCCCCTGTGCGGCCTCGAAGAGGCGACCGTGGCAGTGCCCCCTGTGGGACTGCCCACGTCGTCCTCTGTCTTTCCTCGTGTTCGTCGTCGCCGTCCTCGTCGTCTTCCTTCCTCCCTCGTCGTTGTCGTCGTCGGCGTCGCCGTCCTTCCTCCTTCGTCGTTCGCGTCGTCGCCGTCCTCCCTCCAATCCCTTGTCGTTGTCGTCGTTGTCGTCGTTGTCGCCGTCGTCGTCCTCCCTCCTCCCTCGTCGTCGTCTTCGTTTGCGACGTCGTTGTCGTCGTCGTCGTCGTCGTTGTCTTCGTCGTCGTCGTCGGCGTCGTTGTCGTCGGCGTCGTTGTCGTTGTTGTCATCGTCGTCGTCGTCGGCGTCGTCGTCGTCGGTGTCGTCATGGTCGTGGCCGTTGTCGTCGTCGAAGTCGTTGGAGACGTCGTTGTCATTGTCGTCGTCGGTGTCGGCGGCGCCGTCGTCGTCGTTGTCGCTGTCGTCGTCGGCGTCAGTGTCGCTGCCAAGTGCCATCCGGTACCTACCGTCACGGTCTTGTCTTAAGAGGTCTTGCGACCAAGTTGCGGGTGGGAGGGTGGGATGTTTGCACGAGCAGTGCAGAGGACAGTTTCAAGACGGTCAATGAATAATCCTCCTCTTCAAAAACAGAATAGGATCTACCCCCCCCCGGCGTTATCGGTCCCCCTTTCGGGTATGTAAATCATGTATGAGTATGACCACATGTCCATCCTAAATTTGAATGTGCACCATCCCCGGGGGGCCGGTATCTCCCCCCATGAGGTTCCCTTGAAAACACTATGCGGTGACATTCTTTGTGCTAGCATCACATTTTTCGCGAATCCCTTGGGCAAAATATGATGCAGTGCACACACGCGCGCCGTCGCGCGCGTATGCCGAAATCCTTTTAAAACTTTCGATGCCGGCAGGAGTTCGCAATCGAGTTTCACAAAAAAACATACAAAAACACTGGGTTTCGCAACACTGACTTGCTAAAATAGCTTCCGCGTTAGCTCTTGCGAAATCTTAAGTCAACCATAGGTTTTCAAGATTTTCACAAAATGATACCAAATTGGCTTCGCGCGCGCATGTCGAAATCTGTCGAACGCCCTTGCGCGTGTGCCGTCGCGAGAATCCTCTGCAACAAATGGGACAAAATGCAGACGCGCGCGTCGTCGCGCGCGTATGCCGACATCCTTCAAAACCCATAGGTTCTGGAAGGATCTCAAAATCGTGTGTCCACAAAACCTACACAAACCCAAGGTTTCGCAACACGGATTTTCAACAAAAGCGTGCGCGCGCGCTCTTGCGTCGTCGTCGTCGTCGTCGTCGTCGCCGTCCTCCCTCCCGCGTCGTCGTCGTCGTCGCCTACGTCGTCCTCTGTCTTTTCTCTTTGGCGTCGTGGTCGTCGTCGTCCTTTTTGGCGTCGTGGTCGTTTTCGTCGTCGTTGTCGCCGTGGTCGTCCTTCCTCCTCCTCCCTCGTCGTCGTCGTCGTCGTCCCTCCTATTTCGTCGCCGTCGTCGTCGTCGTCGTCGTTGTCGTGGCCGTCATCCCTCCTCCCTCGTCGTTGCCGTCGTCGGCGTCGCCGTCCTTCCTCCTTCTTGGTCGTTCGTGTCGTCGCCGTCATCTCTCCTCCCTCGTCGTTGTCGTCGTTGTCGTCGTTGTCGCCGTCGTCGTCCTTCCTCCTCCCTCGTCGTCGCCTTCGTTGGCGTCGTCGTCGTCGTCGTTTTCGTCGTCGTCGGCGTCGGCGTCGTTGTCGTCGTCGAAGTCGTCGGAGACGTCGTCGGTGTCGTCGTAGTCATTGTCGTCGGTGTCGTCGTAGTTGGTCTTAAGAGGTTTTGCAAACCAAGTTGCGGGTGGGTGGGTGGGATGTTTGCGCGAGCAGTGGAGATGACGATTTCAAGTTCAGCAGAGTGGGTTCTCCTGTCTCAAAACAGAATAGGATCTACCCCCCCCGGCGTTATCGGTCCCCCTTTTCGGGTATGTAAATCATGTATGAGTATGACCACATGTCCATCCGATATATGAAATCACAATGTCTCAGGCCACCCGGGTTCCCCCCCCTGAGGGTCCTTTTTATAAAAAACACTATGCGGTGATTTTTTGGTTCTAACATAACACTTTGTCACGAATCCCTGGCAAAAAAAAATGAGACGAAATGCGCACGCGCGCGTCGTCGCGCGCGCATGCCGACATCCTTCAAAAACTTTCGGTGCCGGAAGGATTTCGCAATCGAGTTTCCAAAAACCATACAACAAATCAGGGTTTCGCAACACCGATTTGCAAAAAAAACTTCCGCGCGAGCTTTTGCGAAATCTTACGAAAACCATGTTTTTTTGTTCCCGATTTTCGCCAAACAAAACTACATAGAGCAGTGGAGGTCGTCGTCGTCGGCGTCGTCGTCGTCGTCGTTGTCATCGTCGTCGTCGTCGTCGGCGTCATCGTCGTCGTCGTCGCCGGTGTCGTCGTCGTCGTCGTTGTCGGCGTCGTCGAAGTCGTTGGAGACGTCGTCGGTGTCGACGTAGTCGTTGTCGTCGTCGTTGTCGCTGTCGTCGTCGGCGTCGCTGTTGTTGCCAAGTGCCATTTGGTACCCACCGTCACTGTTTTAAGAGATTGTGCAAACCAAGTTGCGGGTGGGTGGGTGGGATGTTTGCGCGAGCAGTGGAGTGGACAACTCACTGCGAACAGAAATTAATTCTCCTGTCCTAAAACAGAATAGGATCTCCCCCCCCCCCGGCGTTATCGGTCCCCCTTTCGGGTACGTAAATCATATATGATTCTGACCACATGTCCATCTTAAATATGAGATCACAATGTCAAATGCCAACCGGGTCCCCCCCCCCTGAGGGTCCTTTGTAAAAAAAAAACACTATGCGGTGACATTTTTTGTTCTGACATAGCACTTTTTCACGGATCCCTGGCAAAACATGGGACGAAGTGCACACGCGCGCGCCGTCGCGCGCGCATGCCGAAATCCTTCAAAAACCTTCGATGCAGGAAAGATTTCGCAATCGAGTTTCAAAAAAAACATACAAACACACGGGGTTCCGCAACACTGATTTGCTAAAAAAGTTTCCGCGCGAGCTCTTGCGAAGAAAAACCAGATAGGCTTCGCGCGCGCGCATTTCGAAATCTGTCGAACGCCCTTGCGCGTGTGCCGTCGCGAGAATCCTCTGCCAAAAATGGGACGAAGTGCAGACGCACGCGTCGTCGCGCGCGTATGCAGAAATCCTTGAAACCCACCGGTTTCGGAAGGATTTCAACATCGTGTGTCCAAGCAGCTTACAACAACCCAAGGTTTCGCAACACATATTTGCTAAAAAGGCTTCCGCGCGAGCTCTTGCGTCGTCGTCGTCGTCGTCGTCCTTCCTCTTCCCTCGTCGTCGTTGTCGTCGTCGTCGTCTTCTGTCTTTCCTCGTCGTCGTCGTCGTCGTCTTGGCGTCGTCGTCGCTTCCGTCGTCGTTGTCGCCGTGGTCGTCTTTCCTCCCTCGTCGTCTTCGTCGGCGTTTCGTCGTTGTCCCTCCTATTTCGTCGCCGTCGTCGTCGTCGTCGTCGTCTTCACTCCTTCCTCGTCGTTATCCTCCTCCCTCGTCGTCGTCGTCCGTCGTCGGCGTCTCGTCGTCGTCCCTCCTATTTCGTCGCCGTCGTCGTCGTCTTCGTCGTCGTTGTCGTCGTCGTCGTCTGCCCTCCTCCCTCGTCGTTGTCGTCGTCGGCGTCGCCGTCCCTCCTGCTTCTTCGTCGTTCGCGTCGTCGCCGTCTTCCCTCATCCATCATCGTTGTCGTCGTTGTCGCCGTCGTCGTCCTTCCTCCTCCTTCGTCGTCGTCTTCGTTGGCGACGTCGTCGTCGTCTTCGTCGTCGTCGTCGGCGTCGGCGTCGTCGTCGTCTTCGTCGACGTCGACGTCGGCGGTATCGTCGTAGTCGGTGGCGGCGCCGTCGTCGTCGTTGTCGCTGTCGTCGTCGACGTCGGTGTCGTGGTCAAGTGCCATGTGGTACCTACCGCCACGGTCTTGTTTTAAGAAGCCTTGCGACCAAGTTGCGGGTGGGTGGGTGGGATGTTTGCGCGAGCAGTGGAGGTGGTCAGGCGCGGTGCAGGGTAGTCAATTGCACCACATCGATTGCATCACCTTGGTTGCACCATGTAGACTGCGCACACATAGGCTGTGCTACACAACTTAGACCAGGTCGAGTGCACCGCCTAGATTGCGCACCAAATGTATTGCGCACCATAGAAATAGTGTACCACATGCAGTGCACCTTATACAGCACACAACACATATCGCACAACGTATCGTGCACCGCATAGATCGCACCATGCCAATTGAACCACATCTGTTGGACATGTTATATATTACAGCACATAAATAGCTGGTAGCCACATACCTTGCACAGCATAGACAGCACATTATATATAACACACTATAGAGCGTCAGCACACCTTGCATACACATATTTGTATACACATGTATAGTGCCAGCGTCGCTTGCACAACATAGGTTGCACGCCATAAATTGCACTGCGTAGGTTGCACCGCACTCGTTGCCACGCATAGATGGCACAACCTAGATTGCTAGAAACACGGTTTAGGTTCCATGCTGGCGAACACGTCGATCTAAAAAGGACGAAGGAGGGAGAGAAAGAGAGAAGGGCAGAAAAAGAGATAGAGAGATAGAGAGAGATAAAGCAGGAGAGGGAGGGAGGGAGGGAGGGGGGGATAGCGAGAGAGAGAGAGAGAGAGAGATGAAGAGGTTGGAAAAGCCATCGGGGCAGGTCAGAGTATGGAATGGAGTTTCCATGCGTGCTTTTTGCCTCCCACCCCTGGAGCGCTGGCCTGGGAGTCCTTGCGCGCTGCGCCCTGGACGTGCTGCGGGGCCCATAGCACAGGTGCTCTACGGGGGCATCGTCCCCTGGGGCGTCAGGGCTCGGCCTTCCTCCGCAATTTCACAGTATGAGCATTATTCTCCGGGGATGCATCTCCTGAGATGTTATTTCATCATCGTCCCCGGCGCTTGTATACCCCCGGTCGAAAACTTGCCAAAGTCCGGTTTAATCAGGCTTCTCCCCGCTGGATCCAGTTTAAGTTAATCTAGTGCTGGTTGGTCCCGGGATCAATCTGGCCTAATCTGTTCCAGTGGCATCGCAAGCAGGCTCAATAGCTTGTAATATTTCGGAAGGAGGTTTCTCACAAGTTGCTTCCTGAGCTCCCATTTCTCCCCTGACTCCGTCTGGAAAACAGCCAGCGTTCTCCACGCAATGTTGATTTACACACAGGAATAGGAACAAGTGATCCGTCTTTCCGTCCCATTGTATTCTTTTTTTTCGGAATGGTGTTCTCGCTGCAGTTTGGGCCTAATTTTTTGGATCGCAGCTTGACCATTCTCGTTCAGAATAGCGTTTCCGCTCCAGTGCGGGTCAGTTTTCTGGATCCGAGTCATTTTACGTCGCTGTCGCCCGCCTCGTTTCCCCTCCACCTTCCCCTGGTTTTCCTGTTCCGCCCCCCGCTCCGTCCACTCCAGTTCCTGCTGTTGTTGTTCGTCGTCGTCCTCCTCCTTCCGCATCCTCCTGCTCCTCGTCCTTTTCCTCCTGCTTATCCTCCTGTTCTGCCGCCTCAACCTCCTACTATGTACGCAGGTCTCCGTTCCGATTTCGCAGATCACGGTTCGGTTTTTTTGTTGGAGTTCCAGGTCAGTCATAACACGCGTCCGCAGATAGTGAACACATCAGCACAATCGGAAGCGATAGGAGGGAGGGAGGGAGGGATAGGATATCAGATCTGGCGCGAGCGCACTTAGTTTGTCCCCCCACCTAATCCTTCTCCCTTTCCCCCGCAACGCATTTCTCTCCCCACACCTCGACCTCCCCTGGCCGCCTGGTCCCTTCACCGAGCCCTTATTTCCCCTAGCTCTCTTCAGCTTTCTCCCCGCCCTGTCTCTCCTTATCTCTCTCCCCAGTCTCTGGCTCCCTTCCTACCTTCCCTCCCTTCCTCTCTCTCTCACCCTCCACCTCTCCCTCTCCCTCTCCCTCTCCCTGTTTCTGTCTCTTTCTGTGCCTGTCTGCCTGTCGGTCGGTCTGTCTGCCTGTCTGTCTGTCTCTCCTGTCTCTTTCTCTATATCCGAATATTTAATTATTGTTTTTTGTGTGTCGTTTAGCGAGACACCGCCGATGCGACATTTGCCCCCCGCGTGCCCGGTCGAGGAGCAGCCTGGCGCCACCCGCGTCGCGGAGCGAGACTCCCGCGCGAAGATCGAACAGCGAGACCCTTGCCGATGCGGCGCGGATGCGCCAACGCGGGCGAAGAACGGTGTAGCATCAATTTTTCCGTCGCCGGGGGCGCTGCCCCAGGGCGGTTGGAAAGTTTATACCTTGACGCGCCACGGTAAGGGCATAAATTTCCCAGCCGCCTTGGGACAGGCGCCCACGACAGCGAAAGAGTTTGTTTCATACCAGTGCGACGTGCGCGCCATTTGATCAGTCTCGGATCGATGCGTACTACACCCAGTCGCGGAGCGGGACCCCAACATCCTCAGGTTCGAGGCGAGACCCCCTCCGTGGATGCGACGCATGCAATCTCCCCCTTTTGACCGAGGGGGCAGCTGCGGGAGGGTGTTTTATTACACGTGGGTGGGTCGCGCGCGCACCCGATATTCTCTCCTCTGCAAATCTGTCGAGGGGAAACTGCGGGCCCACATTCCTAGCATGTTTGGCGATTTCCTGCTATGCTAGTTTTCGTGTTATGGTGCATTGTTGTTTCTCTCTCTCTCTCTCTCTCCCTCTCTCGTTCTCCGTCTTTGTTTGTTCTCTCTCACTCTCTCTCTCTTCCTTTCTGTTTCCTTATTGGTGGAGCGATCGCCGCGCCCGACTAACGTCAGGCGGCACGAGCGACCGTCAGTCGCAGCGTTGGGCGGAGTGCCAGACGAACGACGACGCGGACGACGTTCACCACGCCCTCCTCCAGGCGATATGCGTTTTGCACATAGCACAGAGTTGGCGGTCCCCCCTTCTGTCCCCGAGGACACGCAGTCTTTCAAGTGGGGCATGGTGCTGTGCAGCCGTCCTCCTGGGGGATTGAAGCGTACCGTGTGCACATCCAGGGATGTGCGTTCGATGCCTGTTTCCGAAGTCTGGAAGCCTCTGACGAGTCCAGACGGTTGCTGTTGAACCCCCGCGGATGTTTTATTGCCCCTGCTTGTCTCAATAACCCAAGGAATAGAGTCATCAGGGTTTCTGCAGGGACCCGCAGGCTTGACAAATGAACCTTGAAAACGTCTGCGTATGGAATATTGAAAACCCGCTCTTGGAACCACGGGCTTCCATTCGTAATCCTCATGGTTCCGACCGGATGGGCATCCTACACGGATCTCGAGGAAATCTGCAGGAGTTCTAAGGTGTTCCGACGCATATTTGGGATCCCCCGTTAGATCCGAAGGATTTCTTGAAGGGACTTGTATGTTTCACAGTGCACATGCGGACCGGCGCCCCCGCTGATGCGACGCAGCTTACTTTTCGGCGAGGTTCCCGCCCGCGCGCGAGGCGGCGCCCAGCCGTGCAGCGATGCGCCATCCCAGACGCGCGGCGGGACTTCCGCTCGTCGCAAACAAACAAAAATCTGCCGATGCGGCGACACGGCTGCGTCGCGCGCATTCCCCAGTCGTGCAAAGGGTCGCCGCCCCCGTCGCGCAGCGAACCCCCCACCATTCGCGGAACGAGGCCCCCGCTGACATGCAGGTCTCCGTCGCGCAGCAAGGCGCCAGCCTAGACCTTGAGCGAGACCATCGCCAGCCAGTCGCGGACCGAGCTCCCCACGTGGACACGGCGCACGCCATGGGGCAGAGTCCAGTGGGGAAGATGTGCCTCGGGCGCAAGCGACGCAGGTGTTCAAGGCGGGGGTCGTTCACGGGCGGCGCGTCCGCGAAGTGAATGGAACCTTCCCCCTCCCCAGCGCGTGTTTTTGACGATGGGGCTGGACGCGTTTGCGCGTCATCTTGCTAGTTTTTTTGTTTTGGAAAACCACCAACGAAGGATATCGTGTTCTCTCTTTCTCTCTCGCTTTCCCTGTCTCTCCCTTCCTTTTTCTCTTGTTTTTCTCTGTACCCCCCGTCCGTTCCCACACGTCTACGTTTCCTATGCGTTTTACATGTTCGAGGTATCTCAAGGGTGGCGGGCGCGGGGGAAATTTTGCGATCAATCTGATATTTCAGGCAAGCGAGTTCGCGCGAGGAAGAAGGGTATGCGGACGAGAGGGAAGTGGTGACTGAGGTGAGGTGGGAAGGTTCGACGGGAGGACATCCATTCCGGGAAAATGGCGGTAGAAGAGGAACGAGGTGGAGGACCAGGAGCAATCGAAGCAAAACAAGGGGACGATGAGTGGTTGGATGCGCCAGTAAGCTAGGCGGATGAAGCCCCCTCTGCACAGGTAGCAGGGGAGGACATGAACGAGCAAGGAAATAACTACGCCAGTCTCACTTGAAGCGCACGCATTTCGGCATCGATCAGTCGGCATCTGCCGGCGACCATGACTGTGACTAGCGGCGGCGACGCCGACGACAGTGACGACCGACGACGGCGCCCCACCCGTCCCGCCGATCCCGCCCGCCCCGCCCTTCCGACCCGCCCGCTGCAATGTGCCGCCCGACCCGCCCGCCCGACCCGTGGTGTTCGTTCTCGTGGCCGAGCCCTCAGAGCCTCCGGGCCTCCGCCGGGTTGCCGGCAGATGTGCCAAGAGGCGGGGGTGCCGACGACAGTGACGACGCCGACGACGACGCCGACGAGGGCCGGCCGCCAGTTGCCCTTCGGCGTAGCCCCTTCGGCGGCGCTTCTCATGCCAGCGACGTCGACGAGCCTTCGAGCCTTCGGGTCGACCGCCAGTTGCCCTTCGGCGCAGTCCTTTCGAATGGCGATGCGGACGACAGCGACGACCACGCCAGTGATGACGACGACGAGCCTTCGGAGCTTTCGGATCGACCGCCAGCCCAGACGTCCAGCGCTCCAACTCTTTCGATGCGTGGACCCCCGAAGGTCCGGACCATCTCCACAGGGCCGTTGTTTCATCCCGAGCAGCTTTTGGACGGTCCCCGGGGTCCGTGAAAGGGCCCCCATTGAGGCCAAAAGCGGCCCAAATCCGGCCAATCCATTTTTGGGGAATTCCGGATCTCTGTGAGCGACGGAAGGGGTAGAATAGGGAAAGGGGGGTGTACGAAATCTGCGCCGTAGAGCTGGTTTCCGCCCCGCCGCAGGCGCCTCCCGGCGCCAGGAGGCGCCAGGAAAACAAGTTCCCTGAGTTGATTGTCGACCCTACCAATTATCGCCCTCCGCAGGGGCCGCTTGCAGGACCGCTGGAAATCAAGAACACAGCGGCCCAGGACGGAGAAGCAAACACAACACAACGCGTAGCCGGTTGTGGCCTCTGGTCAACTCCCGAGAAGAGCGTTCGGAGCGCCTGCGCGCCGGCCGCCAGGTGCCGTTCATCTGCAACCAGAAGCCCCCAGAGCGCCACTTTGTGGGGGCGCGGGGGCCGAGGCAGCCTGCGCCAGCACCGTCGGCGCCAATGGGGGGGGTGGGGGGGCACCGAAGGGGTGCAGCAGGCAGCCTCTTGGGGGGCGCGCAATGGGGGGGGCGATACAGTCGGACACAGGTGTCAGATCGAGGTCGGTTCGGGGTAGGTGCCCTAATGCTCTTGGTGTTTGTTGGGTGCCCTGGCGCATTCTGGGTAGGCTTCCCCTGGGATGTTCTTGAGGGATGTTTTTTCTGGCCCAGGTTCGATTGTGAATGGGGGGCAGCGAGGACCGAAGAAAAAGAGCCCTTTAGGGCCCCAAGGGGGGCCTTGTAGTGTCCTAAGAGTGCACCTGTCTCCCACCCCCTATTTTTCCTCTTCCCCCTGAAGCGACGCCCAAGCCTCGGGGCTGGCCGCCTGCAGTGCCGTGTGCGTTGAGGCCATCGGACGTTCGGAGGTTCGACATGTTCGGTTCTTCTCGTCGATTCCCAGAGGTTTTTCAGCCTCGTGCTGCAGTTCAGCGGCTGCGCCTCGTCGGGAGCTTTCTGGGCGCGGCCCGATCGTCCCGAACGTCCCCCTCAGGCCCGAGTCATGGCCCGAACACCACAAGGCGTCCTAAAGAGGGGGTGAGGATCAGGATGTGTGTGAGTGAGTGAGTGAGTCAGTGAGAGAGAAACAGAGAGAGAGAGAGAGGGAGAGAGAGTGAGTGTGAGTGTGTGTGTGTGAGTGTGTGTGTGCTTGTGTGTGGGTGTGACTGTTGTGTGTATGTGTACGTGTGTATGTGTATGTGTGTGTGTGTGTGTGTGTGTCCGTAGCCATTCTGGCTCAAGCCATTTTGGCTCAAGCCGTCTAGCACTCAGGAGCAGCGGCCCGGCCCGGCGCCCAGGCCCTGCGCGTAGGGTATTCCGCGCGCGAGGCCGCATGCCGGGCGGCCGCCGTGGCAAGCCGCCAGCTGGCGGCCTGGCCAGGCCGCTGGGCTCTCTGGTTTAGGCAGTGGTGGGAGGGAGCAGGAGCAGCGGCGCAAGGGAGGCGGGCGTGGGGGTCGTCTCGAGGCCCTGGAAGGCCCGCGACAGCCCATGTTGGGCTGCTCGTGCTGGGTCTCCGACAACTGTGCCTGTCGGAGTGCCTGCCGGGCATGCGGCCGCCGTGGTCCGCGCGCTCCCGTGGGAGGAGCGCCGCCGCCCAGGCCGGATCGCCCTCCCCCAGCGGCGGCCGCGACGCAAACTTGGGCCCAGGTGGCGGGCGGCGCAGGGGTGGTGCAGGCAGCGCCGTCAGCAGGGCCGCCGCCCGAGGCTGCCTCTCGAGGTCCCGATCCGGCATCTGCGCCAGCGTTGGCGGACCTCCGAGCTCGCATCGCCGCGTTCAGGCCTTTCCCGGAATGCGCTTCCACGGTGGCGCGGCTGGAGGCGGAGATGGTGGGCACTACGGAGGCCGAGCGGGCCGCCCGCCCTCTCGAGCGCAGGCTCCAGTCTGCGGTGGACGCTCTGCGCAGCCGGTCGGCGGCGGCGCAAAAGGCGCGGCAGGCCGCCCTCGGCGCGCGGTAGGCAGCCGAGCAGGCAATGCAGGCTGCTGTGGCGATGGAGGCGCAGGCAGCTCAATGCCGAGACCGAGGAGGCGAACGCTCGGCAGACGCTCGAGGCCGTGTGGTCCGAAGCCGCCGCCGGCAGTGCGGCCGGGGCTGGCGCGGGTGCCCCTAGGCTGGACGCAGCCTTCGCGACCTTCTCGGCTGCCTGTGCTGCGGCGGCGTCCCCAGAGGTCGCGGCCGGGATCGCCGGCGCGGTGCGCTGGAGCATCTCCGCGGCACGCTGCGCCCACGAGAGCATCCGCCTGGCGCCGGGCATGGTGGGATGGGGGCGCCGGGCCCAGCAGGCGGCTCCGCGCAGCTCGGTGACGGGGCGGCTGCTGCGGGCGTGGCTGTCCTCGACGATGCGGGATGTCAGGAGGTGCAGGCCCGGGGGCGCCGCGCGGCCCCCGCATGCGGCTGCACCGCTGGCAGCGGGCGCCACGGGACGTCCCCTCCTCCGAGGCGCTCCCGAGATCGAGAGCGCGAAGGCGGCGACTCTCGAGGGTCGGAGCGTTCCCCGTCGTCGGATCGAGGGGGCTCCCCGGGGGCGTCAGACCAGTCCCAGTTCGCCCGCCAGGTGCCGCTGTTGCCCGGGCAGCAGACTCTGCCGCTGCGCCCTGCGGAAGCGGCAGGCGGTGCTTGGTGGTACCCACTCGCAGCGGCGGCGGCTCGGCGCCGCGGAGGCCACCCCGTGCCCGCTGGCGTCGTGGGGTGGCAGCGCTGCTGGCGCATCCGCTGAACCCGCGCGTGCTGGCCGGGGGCTCCGCCGCCGCTGCGGGCGCTGCAGGAGCTGCTGGGCCGGCTGCTTAGCCAGCGTGCGTCGGCTGTTGCTGAGGCCAGCGCGCAGCCCAAGGACGCCAGGCGTGCCTTCCACCAGAGGCGCGGCGGCTGCAGCAGGTGCTTGGCGCGCCTCCCGCCAGAGCCGCCCCGGCAGCGGCGGCCGATGATAAAACAACATCTTATTGGTTGTGCCATACGTTGCGCCCTCGGCGGCCGAGAATGAGCCCGTCTCTCAATGGCTTCGCCATGGGTTGCGCCCTCGGCGGCCGAGAATGATCCCGTCTCCTCTTGGTTGCGCAGCCATAGGTTGCGCCGTCTGCGGCCGAGAACAAGCGGCGCGCGCGCCATGGGTCTTGCACATAAGGGAAGGAGAGGAGAGGGAGAGGAATGACCAACTCAAGGGGGCGGGCCCTGGGGACGCGGCATGGGGGAATGTGGGGCGGGGAGCCGGCGCAAAATAATGCGGTGGGGGGAGGGGGGCGCGGCTGCCAGGAACGAAGGCGGGGGACCGCTGGAGAGAGAGAGAGAGAGAGAGAGAACAAAAAGAGAGAGAGAGAGAGAGAAAAAAAGAGAGAGAGAGAGAGAAAAAAGAAAGAAAGAAAGAGAGAGAGCTGGGGGCAGGGGAGGGGGGGTGCGGGGCGACGCGAAATAAAATGGTCGGGGCGGAGGGGGCACTCGGCTGCTGGGAACAGAAGGGCGCCGATTGAAAGGGGGCCGTTGGGGGAAGAGCTGGGGGCAGAGGGGTGGGCGACGCGAAATAAAGTAATCGGGGCCCCAGTCATCCTTGGCAGGAGGACAAAGCCGTCTCCTATTGGTTGCGCCATAGGTTGCGCCCTCGGCGGCCGAGTTTAAAACTGCCGTCTATTAGTTTCGCCGCGGGTCGCGCCCTCGGCGGCCGAAAATAAAGCCGTCGCCCATCGATTGCGCCGTAGGTTGCGCCCCCAGCGGCCGAGAATTCAAGCCGCATGCTGCTGGTTGCGCCATAAGTTGTGCCCTCGGCGGCCGAGAATAAAACAGTCTGCTGTTGAATCCGCCATAGGTTGCGTCTTCGGCGGCCGAGGATAAACCCGCCCCCTATTAGCTTCGCCATGATTGCGCCTTCGGCGGCCGAAAATCAACCCGTCGCTCTGTGGTTGCGCCATAGGTTGCGCCCTCGGCGGCCAAGAATATCTGCGTCTCCTTCTGGTCGCGCCATAGATTGCACCCTCGGCGGCCGAGAGTAAAACCGTCTCCTATTGGTTACGCCGTGCGCAGTAACGTTGGGTTGCGCCCTCGGCGCCGGCCGAGAGAACGAACCCACGTGCCATCGATTGCGCCACGGGTTGCGCCCTCGGCGGCGGCTGAGAATAGAACCGTCTGCCACTGGTTGCGCCATAGGTTGCTCCCTCGGCAGCAAAGAACAAAACCGCCTCCCGTTGGTTTCGCCCTGGTTGCGCCGTCGGCGGCCGAACGATAAAACCGTCGCGTAACGGGTGCGACCAGTCAGTTGGTCAGTCATCCAGTCATTCAGTCACTCAATTTGTCAGTCTGTCAGTCTGTCAGTGTGTCAGTCAGTCGGAGCTCACCTCGCGAGAAATCCAATTCGGGGCGCGCCCAGAATCAAGGCGGAATATTGTCCCCGCTTTCGCTTTTCGGGTGCCTTTGGGTCGTCAGACGAAGATACATGATGAAACGCTGTCATATTGATATGTCTGGGCCTCCAGGGGCCGCGCATTGAACAAATCAGGACGTCGGATGTTTGGGAGGGGCCGGAGAAGGACGATGAGCAGAAGGAGGAGGAGGAGGAGAAGGGGGGAAGGAGGAGGAAGAGCTGGGGGAGGAGGACCATCAGGAGGAGGGGAGGAGGAAGAGGGAAAGGGGGAAAAGGAGGAGGGGGAGGAGGAGGAGGAGCAGCAGGGGGATGAGGAGAGGAGTAGGAGGTGGAGCAGCAGGAGGAAAGATGATGAGCCGTCTTAGCCGTCTCGGGAGGGCGCGGTGGCCCGCCTGAGCGCCGCGTTGAAACCCTTTCGTTCGCCCCGACGGCAATGTGGGCGCCATCTTTATGGCCAGAGCGAGCCTCGAGATGGCGAGCGACAGCCTCATGACTGTCGATTCCTTGCGCCCACCTTGCGATCCATTTCCGGCCTGCCGCGCGACCGCCCCTGATCCGCCCCGCGCATCACCGTTGCCGCGCGCGCGGTGGTCGCACTTGCATGGCGCGGAGCTCCGCGGAACGCCCCGGCGGCGAGGTCCGCGTGGAGGTCCCGCCTGATGTCGGCGCACCGTCCGCGCGCTTCGTGGCGCCATGGAGAGCGCCGCGGAAGGCTCCATTGACAAGTTCCGCATGGCGGCCCCGCAACGAGGAACCCACTTGGAAAAATACGTTTGTGCCATGCTGCAGCCGCGCGGCACGGAATACATTCAATGCGTTTCCAAATTCGCACGTTCGGTCACGCAGCCAATAGAAAGCAGGGCGGACATCCACAAAGGTAGGGCGGAAACGGCGACAGAAAAGTAGGGCGGACATTGGCGTCGCCGGGGCTTAAAAAATCAGGCGGGAATTCCAGGCCCTACTTGCAAAATTGCCCAAAGTAGGGCGGATCCGGAGTCAGGGCGTCGCCGCCGCTGGCCAGGGCCGCCGCTGCGCTATCTCGTCGGCTCCGCGGCTCCGCGCAGGGCCGTTTCGGGTGGCCCCGGCGCCTGCCGGCGGGTTTCGGCCAGCGCTGCCCGTTGAGGGCGGCGGCGGGCTGGACTGCGCGGAGCTGGTTGCAGCTTGCCGCTAGCGCAGGAACCCGCCGGCAGCGCGCTGGGCGGTCCGCCGCGGGCGGCTGCGCGCCGCTGCCGAAATTGCCATCGCCGCCCTCGTCGCGAGTGGGAGGCTGGGCCCCGCGGCGGCGACGATCATCGCGCAGTTGTGGCAAGGCCGCGAACTCTCTCTGGCAAGGCCGCTTCCCCGCCGAGCTGCGGAGGCAGATGGCAGGGGTTCTAGCGGCGGGTCACAGACGCGGCGCCGGGCCAGTCGCGGCCCCCTCCAAAGCCTGACAGAGTTGTGGCTGCAGGCCTGAACATCGAGTGCTGGGCCGGCGTGCCGGCCGCGCCTGGGGACCAGCGCCTCGTCCAGAAGCTCTTGCAGGACGCGCGGTCGGCGTTGCTAGGGGCCTGGCCCCCAGCGCCAGGCCAGGCGGCTGGTTGACAGGCGAGTGGACTTCCGGCGCGTCGATTTCGGCGTCGGCCGTTCTGCCTCGAGACGGCCTCTGACAAACAGCGCGCTGGCGACAGGCGCTGGCGGGGCGCCGTGCCCGCGGGCGACGTGATCACCGTCGGCGATTCACCAAGTCCGTTGCTGCGAAAATTGGGGCATCCCACCGCCTGACCCCACTGCGGCGCGGCCGTGGAGGGCCTCGAACACCACGCGTGGATATGCCCGCGCTGGGAGCCCGAACGCACAATGGTGTTGCAGCCAGCGGGGTTCATTGCAGAAGCCGCCAGGGCTTGCTTGCACCCCCGAGACAGCGCGCGCCAGCGTCTTGCACCGGCGCCCTGGCTCCTGCGTGCGCCTGGGCGACCAGGGGTGGCTGTTCGGCTGGGCAGTGCACCTCGAGACAGACGTCCTGGGCCACGAGGACCGCAATCGCAATGGCCTTGTCGGCGCGCGGAGGTCTGGGCTTGCGTGCAGACGCTGCGCATGGCGGGCGGCCGCGTGGAGGTGATCGCAGATGCCCGCTTCGTCAGCCGCAGAGTTGCCGCACTCCAGGCTAGCGCCTGCCCAGTCGACTGGGCGCACTCAGACCTTTGGGAGGCTGCCATCGCCCCGCATTGCCGCAGCGGGGCGGCGCCGAGGCGCACCCCGACGCCCTTCAGGCGCGTGGGTGCGGCCTGTCTGAGGAAGACCGCACGGGCAACGATGCGGCGGACTGCTTGGCTGGGCTGGCAGCCGAGGTTCGGTTGCCCACACCCGCGTTGCGGCACCAGGAGCGCAAGGGGCAGCTCGACGTGCGGCCCGGGGCGCAGATGGGCTTCGCGCGCCGCGCGCCGCAGCCGGGCCGCTGGTTTCGACGTCGCTGGGCGGCGCCGCGCGGCGCGCGACCCCAGCAGGCCCCGCTGGACCGCGTCGCGAGGGCTTCGGCTGCCGTTTAGCTGTCTGCACCGCCTGCGCCAGCGGCCGCGGTTGAGGCGCTGTTCGCAGGCCGCCATGTCGGCCGCGCGCAGCGTTCCAAGGACGGGTCTGGGTCGCCTGCTTCCGCTGCGGCGGCTTGGCGACGCGGTGGCGTGGGCTGGCGAGTCTGTCTTGCAGCGATTGCGTGCGGGCGCTCTGTCCTCGGGCGGTCGGCCTGCTGCTGCTGCTGCTGCTGCTGCTGCTGCTGCTGCTGCTGCTGCTGCTGCTTGCGGCCCGCGCCCGAAGCGCAGAGGCCGTCTGTCGGGCGGCGCTACGGGCGCGGCTCGCCGCGCGGCCTTGCGCGGTACAAGCGGGCGGTGGTTTATGCGGCGCTGCCGGCGCTGAAGTGGGCCGCGGGCCAGCCATGCTTCCCCTCCCCTTCCCTTCCTGCTACCCCCTCTCAGTCCGTCGCAGGGCACTCATCGCAATGGTAACTAAGCAAGCGCTTGTGTGTGCGGTATGGATGCCATGGCCGAGCCCGCGATGTATCTCCCAGGTTCCATGCTTCATGCCCCGCCTCTTCTTGTTATATTTCTTCCATTCCTTCTTCCACTGGCCGCTCTTCGTCCGCGCGCTCTCATCGGGCCATGGTGTGCGCCCCCCCTCGTCCTGGCCCCCGCCTCCGGCGCGCCCGACAGTGGGTCCGCCAGAGGTCCCAGGAGCCAGCATGACGAGAACGGGCTCCCAAAAAAGTCTTTCGGGTTGTTCCACTGTCGTCAGCCTCCGGGCCCCCCTCCAGGGCCCCAGGGCTTCACACAAGAAACGGTGCAGGCCGAACGTTCGTCCAGGGCCCGTGTCCTCCAGGGTTGTTGCTCTCGATCCCCGCGCCATCTCATGGAGTTGGGTCCTCGCTTGGAAGAAAGCCACCCGTCCCTACGCATCCGTACTTTTACAATCATCATGCCACTGTTCCGCCACACTCCTTTACACTGCTCGTGGCTCCCATAGGGAGCTCCACCGAAGGCCACACTGGCAAAGTGCACATGCGGCTTCCGCCCATTCTGGTATTCCCCTCACACGCTTTGCGGCACAATGTGAAGCTCCGCCGGAAGCCCTAGTGGCAAAGCCCACATGCAGTTCCCCGCCCATGCCCTCACATCCTCACAGTTTCGTGGCCCCGTAGGAAACTGCACCGAACGTCACAGTGGCGAAGTGCACATGCGATTCCCCGCCCATGTTAGTACATCCCTGACACGTTTCGCGGTACCATGGAGAGCTCCACCGAAGGTCCCAGTGGCAAAGTCTTCATGCGGTGCCCCGCCCATTCTGGGATTTCCTTCCAGTCGTTTCGTGACCCCGTAGGGAGCCCCACCGAGGGCCCCTGTGGCAAAGTGCACAAGCGGTTCCCCGCCGATTTCGGCACACCCCTCACACGTTTCGTGGCCCCATAGGGAGCTCCACCGAAGGTCACAGTGGCAAAGTCCACATGCGGTTCCCCGCCCATTTTGGGATTCCCCTCCATTCGTTTCTTGGCCCCGTAGGGAGCCCCACCCAGGGCCCTTGTTGCAAAGTGCACATGCGGTTCCCCGCCGATGTCGGCACACCCCTCACACGCTTCGTGACTCCATAGGGGGCTCCACCGAAGGTCCCAGTGGCAAAATCCACATGCGGCTCTCCACTCATGTTGGGCACGCCCCTCACACGTTTCGCGGCCCCATGGGGAGCACCACCGAAGGTTCCAGCGTCAAAGTTCGCATGCGACTACCCGTCCATTTCGGCATCTCTCTCACACGTTTCGCGGCCCCACAGCGGAGTGCTCACATTTGCATTTGGTTGGGTCCTTCGCCAGGATATGGGTTGGTTGGGCGTAGGCCTGTTAGATGTACATGTGAAGGTGTCGTGGCCCTTAAGATGTCTAAGCATACGTTTCCTGCAGGCGTCTTCGTTCTACTCTCGTTAATGTATCACCGATTGGACATCCTAGTTTCGTTCCAGCGTCGTCTCGGTGTTGTCCCAGTTCCGATGGTGTTTCGTTCCTGTGTCGGTGCAGTTTCGTTCTTTGTTCGTTCCAGGGCCGTTCAAGTTTCGTGGCGCGTTCGTGCTCATGCCTGTTCAGTTGCGTCCCAGCGCTGAACTATATCGAAACTGGAACGAAAATCAAGAGCGCGTGCGTCATTCCAGGGCACCGTGACCTTGCACCGAAAGTCTGACCTATATGGGTTTAGCCCGTGGTCGATGAGGATGGTTTCGCGTCTTCATGGTGCCAGTTCTCCTCTTCCTCTTCTCCGCCGTGTGGTTTTTGGGGGCTCAGCAGCCACGCGCACGCGGTGCCGACTGTCCAGGATGCTTGCCTTCTGCGAACTCATGCTGGAGCAGTTTGTGTTTTTCTTAGTTCTCGCATCGTCCAGCCTCTATTATATTTGAAGCGCACGTGGTCTTTCGATTTCCGCACAGCGAGCGCTACTGGCGGTTAGCACATTTATCATGGGCAAGCTGTTGCAGCTTACTCGTGTAAGGCGCCGTGCGTACGATAATCAGTTCGGGAATGTATTGGGTGGTTAGCGCAGCATGCCCGTTAAAAAACACTTGTGTTTTGCCAGTTGTAGCCAGAAGCATGGCCTGTGAATGCCATGGTCTGTGGTTTCTTCAGGACTGTGGTTGGTATGCGCAGGTTGGTAGTTGCATGTGCTCTGATCAACTGCGAGCCATGGACGCGTTGTGAAGGCGTGCTGGGCAGGTCTTCTCCACATGTGCAGCTTCTGTTTGTGCATTCTGCGTGTACTTGCTTTCCCCCAGAGTCCCCGCCTGCAGGGGCTGGTGGCTCTCGCAGGAGCCTCGGGGGGACAGCTCCGTGGAAGGCCCAACGGGAGGCGTTCCCCGAGGGAGGAATGGATGGAGGAGGGGGAGGAATGGGCGTGGGATGGGACGGGAAGGGCGGACCGCAGGGATTCCAAAAGCGGACGGGAGTGGAGGCGCGAAGCCGAAGCCCGTCGCCGCCGCCACAGCAGGCCGCCGCGTCGAGCAGCTCGACATGCGGCGGGGCTGGGGCGGAGACTGCAAGGGGGCGTCGGAGGATGTGGGGCATTGGGGATCGAAGGAGGACCAGGTACTGATGCCGCGGCCCTCTCTTGATTTCGCTTTTCCGGGGCGGCCTTCGTCGCCACGGCCCGGTTCGCCTCGAAATTCTGGTCAGAGTGCGCCCCGGGAGAGGGCCGGGGAGTAGCGGCATCGGTACCGAGGAAAGGGGATTGAGGAGGCGTACGAGGAGGAAGTGGGGAAGGAAGGGGGTGGTGTCTCGGGGGAGAAATAGATACAGATACGTGTTGTCCCCCTTCGTTTTCGGCCTTTCCTGGTCCTCCTGGGGAATCCTCGTTGTCACCGCTGGATTCGCCTCGAAATTCTGGTCAGAACGCACCCCAAGAGAGGTCCGGGGACAACACGTATCCGTATCTTTCCGCCCCCCAAGGTGTATGAGCAGCCAGGGGGTGGATGAGTAGGATGGTCTGGTGGAGCAGGCGGAGTTGGAGGATGTGCCAATCATGGACCGCGGATGAGTTGACCAACGCAAGCATGATTGCGAAGACGAGGCATGCCGATCTGGTGGCGAAGGGTTCACGCACCGACCAGCAGCCGCCGCGCTCCCTCGGCCTGGGTCGACGAGATGTCGAGCGATGTCATGCGCTTGTCACAAGTCCGCTGGCGATGCCCTCGTCGCTGCTGGGCTGCCAGAGCTGCGACATCAGTGGTGGTGCCAGTCCACGGGGGCACGAGCACCACAGATCACCAGATCGCAGCCTGAGCGGAACGAGAACAGGTACGGCAGGTTCGTGTTAGGTTATCGCGGTGGCGACCCCCGCCGCGGGCGTTCAAGGTTGTACTCCACTGGTGGCCCAGAGTTGGCCAATGTGGAACGATTTTGCGATCGAAAAGCTCCCAGGCATTCAAGGCTGAGCGGCCCACGTGGTCTTAGAAACCACCGACACTTGCCTGCCGTACGGGGACCGAGTCGTCGTTGGGGTCAGACGACTCCTCAAAGACACAACTCGCACGGAAGGCACTGGTCGCCAGAAGCGCGAGACGGCACGGACAGGGCAGCAGAAATATCCGCCCGCAACCATAGTCTTTCGGTGTTTCGCCCACCTCCCTCCTTTTTCTCTCTTCCACCCTCTCTCCCTCCATCCTCATCCTCCTCGCGTCTCATCCTCCTTCACCTCCATCCTCCTCCTCCTCCGTAGCCATTTTGGCTCAGGATGCATGTTCCTCCTGGGAGACAATCGGATACCGCTAGTCCGCGGCAGTGCCAGAGCGCTTGCGCTCGACGTCCCTCGCATCCAGTGCTCCACCGCCCTCCCAGAGTCCCGCGTCCCAGATGTCCGATGGCAGTCGCAGCGCCTCGCCTGCTCGCTCTATCTTTCGCAGCGACAACAGTGCAGTGGACGCGGAGCGGCCTGGTCGCTTCCGCCCCAAGGCAGGGGAGCTTCAACGCTCGGGAAGACCTAAGCGTTCCAATGGCTTGGACGTTCGTCCTGAAGCAGATCGTCGTCCGCCTGTTCCTTCTTCCAATCGCGGGTTTGACCCTGGCGCCCCTGCTGCCTGGATGGCGGCGCCTGCTGGGGGCCAGTCCTTCTCAAACAGCCAGCAAACCAGCATCCTGCAGGCGGGCGCCATCCTCCCCACCCTCCCAAATGAAGTTGATGGCAGCCTTCTCGACCCTTGGGCACAAGCTGTTTCTCGGCTTCCTCCTCGTGGCGATGCCCATGCTCGCGTTGAACAACCTGATCGTGCTGAACCTCAGGTGTACCACATTGACGTTGACGACGACGTGGGTGATTCTCCCGATTTCAACGTCCACTGTTATCGTGCTGACATCGAGGCACGTTTTCGCCTCCCTGTGCGGACGTTTCGATGACATGGTCAAAGCTGCGGTCACCTCGCCCCCGCAGGCCGCCAAGGACCCGACCCTCAAGACTTTGGATGTGCTGCGCCAGCAGGTTTCTGGGCACGTCCAGGTTGTCGACCAGAATATCATGTCCGCGATTTGCCCCGAGCTCGACCAGCTCGCCTGGGGATTTCAGATGCAGCAGGATGCGCTCACCAAGCGCGTGCCTAAGTCGGAACATACCCTGGGTGAGCACGAGCGGCATATCATCGCTATGCAAAAAAACTGGGACGCAAGCATGTTGAGCTCGACAAAGCGCCCCCAGCGAAGCCCTTCGTCTCCCCTGGCTTCGATCGTGAGGCTGGTCCGTCCCAAGTTATTGTGGTCGCTGCGAAGTTGGTTGGGCTCCAGGGCGTGCGTGACGAGATTTGCCCCATCCTTGCTGAGCGCAACTTCCGAGATGATGACTGCGACATCTGCGCTCTCCCCCCCCCCTGCCATGGAGTTCTCGACCGCGTTCAAAGGAGCCGCGGGCGCAGCCTGGGCTGCCTTCGGAAGGACGGCCAGCGGAGGGAATTCCGTTGCGCCGTCCAAGGTGCCGACCCTGCCCGTCTACACCTCGGCCCCGACAGGAGTCCCAGGCAGGCCCGCGCGGAGATATTCCTTCTCAAGATCCTTGGCGCCTTTGGCGCCCCCCCCCCCCCCCCCCCCCTCCCAGAAGCGATGGCTCGTCGACCGCGAGAGGGGCGCCCTCGAGGCTGGTTTCACCGACGTCCTCAAGGTCGAGGCCCACCCTGGCGACGAGCCCTCCACGGTTCATTGGGGTGACGTGGGCATCGCGGCGCTTGGTCTTGAGCATCGCCCTTTTCGCCGAAGCCGTTTCATATATTTCCTTTCCCGCGGCCTAGACGCAGCGGTGTCTTTGGCGGCTTTGCGGGCCTCTCCTCGCTGCCTGCGACTGCTGGCGGCGCGGTGCTGCATTTCACCACCTAGAATGCTAGGGCTCTGCTGCAATGCGTTTGGGCCAAGGGCCAGAAGAAGTTGGGTTACCGTAGACGCTGCGCCACTGGAAGCAGCGCTGTGGGACTGCAAGAAGCGCGCGGCGACCGTTCTCAATTGATTGACTTTGTGCGCAAGGCCCGCTCTGATGTGATTGTCCACTGCAGCTTCTGTGATCGCGGGGGTCGAGGAGCTGGTGGCGTCGCCATCCGTCTGCCACCTCTTGCTTCGGATGGAGTTCCCAGCTCGGCGTTGGATCTGATTCCTGGACGCGCGCTGCGCGTGGGCGCGGTACTCGTCGAGGTGCAGGTGGTGGTTTTCAACGTTCGAAACTGCGGCTTGTCCAGGATGATGGTCGCCGCAGTCTGCGAAAAGATCAGGTGTGCCAGCCGAAAGGGCCGCCGCGCCCCCCTCTCGTTCTTCGTCGCTGTTCCTGGCGACTTCAATTTCAGCATCGACGAGGCGCTGATTTTCCACAGGCCTGAATCCTCCAAGGTCCAAGCCGCTCGTGATCACGCCCATGCTCCGACCTGGGCCAGGGCGCTGCGTGACCGGACGGGCGCCTGCTCGGACCCCTCCACCATCCTTCGTAGACGCACCAATTCTGCGAGCTCAATCGATCGCTTCTTCTGCTCGGCCGCGGGCTGGGCGATGCGCCAGCTGACGGCCGCGGCTGGGGCGATCGGCTCGCTGGAGGATTTGAGCTCCAAGATGGTGTCTGACCGCGCCGCTGTCCACGCCGCGCTGCGACGGCGCGCTGCGCGGCCATCGACGGAGCGCCCAATCCCGAGGCACATGTTCCGGAGCCCTGTTTTCAAGAAGCGCCTCATGGGCATGCTGAGCGACGGCGATGGACATATTCTCACGTAGGGCCCTCCTATTTCGAGCGGGCGCCATTAGCTAATGTTGACAGGGGCTGCAATGGGGGCCCCGCGACGTCTTCTTCCTCCAGGCCTCGGGCGAGGCAGAGACACTCCAGCCTATTGCCCGCAGTATTTCGAGAGCGGTCTGGCGACGCGATGTTGGGCTCGCTCTGCGACTTCTCGACACCCCAGTGCACGCGCGAGACGCTCTACTAGTCGAAGGTCGTTCTGTGGCGCTACGACATGCGCCCGCTTGTCAGCAGTGGACTGAAGGAGTGCGCAAAGCTGCCCTGGAGAAAGAGACCGCTGCTGCTGCGTCTGCCCCCAGGCGTACCTGCGCGTCATCACTATTACGTGCTATGGAAAGAAAGGCAGCAATCTGGGCCCCGTTCTCGAAGCGCCTGGTGCTCGCGTCTGCTGCTGCTGGCCCAGGCGGGCCCGTCTCGTCCCCTGAAGGTCGACATCGGACATTGTGTGACTACGGGGAACCTGTCTTCTCGGTGAAGCTCCCTGCTAAATCGGCGACGCAAGCGCACCTCGATCTCTTTCTGAAATCTGCGCAGGATCTCCAGGTTCCCCCCCCTGGCCCCGCTATTCAAGAAAATCGCCAAGAGGGCTGAGCACTCGACCCCTGGTGTGGGCGGGCTGCCGCATGCCGCATGGGCTGCGGTAGATTTCGGCCCCCGCATGCTTGCCCCATATGTTCAGCTGGCTACGTCGAGGGCAGGCTCTATTCGACGCTGCCAGCGTCACCCTGCAAGCCTCCCTTCCCAAGGGCTCCGAGGCCTCCGGCGCAGCGGGCGGGGCCTGCGCGAGGTCCCCTGATCGGGTTCGGGTACTGGGCCTTCGCAATACTGACATGAAGATTTTGAGATCGGCCATGATGATCATTCTGAAGCCAGTTGTGGACTTTGCGGCCCCGCCTTCTCAACGTGGCTTTATATATGGACGTAATTTTGGATAGAATATTCTTGAGCTTGACGCCCTGGTCTGCGCGGCCTTTCAGCGCCCACTCGCACGGGGCAAGTCCCTGATTCTGTTCGGCTTTGACTGCGGCCAGGCCTTTCCCAGCCTCTCCCAGTCCTTCCTCATGCAGCTCCTGGGCGCCCTGGGGCTCTGCGAGGCGCTCCTCTCCTACGTGGGGGCCATTGCGGACGGGGGCGCTCTGGTGGAAGTTTTCTGGCTGAGATCTGGGTTCATTCAAGGATGTGGCCTCTCGAGCTCCTTGCGTGCTTTTGCCTCTGCCCCGATGCTCCAGGACCTGGAAGCGAATCCTGAGGGTGGCGGTAGAGTGC